TGAAAGGGAAGGAGAGGAAGAAGTAACGAAAGGAAATGAGAAAAGAGGAAGAGGAAGAAGGAAACAGAGAAGATGGGACGAGGGAGGAGCAGGGCAGACTGGAGGTGGCTCAGGAACAGCAGGTGCAAAAGGCGGCAACACCCCCAACACGCACCCTCCCTGCCTCGACTCCTGCGCCCAGCCTGCGCCCCCGCCTGTGCACAGCCTGCGCCCCACCCGCGCACCTCTCGGTGTCAGCGCCCTCCTCGGTGCTCTCCAGGGGAGCTGGGGCCTCCTGGCTGGGCGGGCCCTGCGGGGGTGGGTCCCCTAGCTCCAGTGGGGCATCAGCGCCTGTGGGGGGCGGGGGAAACAGGGCTAGCTGGGGGGCCCCTGTGACAGTGAGACCCCCCACTCTGGGGGCCTCAGTTTCCTCTGCCATGGAGTGGGGGATGCGGGACTAAAGCCACCCAGTAGCTGCTCTGTACTTCCACGGGGGACGGACAGATGGAGAGACCGCAGAGGACAGCATGGTGGGCATACCCTGGGGGAGACTGGGCGCTCTGCTCAGCGCCCCCACAGACATCTGTTCTCCCGACCCTTGACCAGGACTTGCAGGAAGAAGGCAAACCCGATTCACGGATGAGGCTCAGAGAGGGGAGTAACCGCCAAGATACAAGTGAGCCGCAGGCCTGGGCTATGAACCCCGGCCTGGCCAAGCAGCCATCTGCGGTCCCAGGGGCTGGGGGCCACACGGGCGCTGTGAGGAGTGAGGTCAAGGGGGCTGGTGGGCTCCCCCTCCACGGGGGGCGTGTCCTCAAAGAGGCATCTGGGAAGTGAAGCCGTGTTGGCTGATGGGGACTGTTGTCCAAGGTGGGACTCAAGTCGCCAGGACAGAAGTTAGAGCCTGGGAGGGAAGCCGTGGAAATGGCAAACTGATAACACCGGTGACCAGGAGCAGGGGGGGACATGGTGGGGAGACCAAGGGGCAGTCTGGCCAGGGGACCCAATTAGCTCACCTGGTTCCCGGTCTGGGCTGTCCCCAGAGAGAGGGTGCAGAGAAACTCCAGGGATGTCCTGCCCAGGGCCCCCAACATTCCGGTCCCGGGAGGGCCCCCCTAGGCCCCCCTTCCGTTCTGCGAGGCCTGGCTTCTCAGCTGGGGAGACATTGAGGGACAAAGGAGAGAATGAGTGTCCAGCGACTCCCATCTACGACGGCCAGGGGCATCCAGGTGCTACACTCCAGCCCTGACTTCCCCATCACCCAGGAGACCGGACCCCAGCCCCCTCCTTCCTCAGACCAAGGAGACCCCCTCCTCCCCTCCTAGGTCCCCAGGATGGATGCTCTGGCTTCGGGACCATTAATTACCATCAGCCTCCCCTTTGAGGTGTCGAAAATCTGGGGCTGAAATGAGAGATGGGACGGGTGAGACGGACAGGACCGTGGGGGGCGGTGTGGGGAAGTCGGGGTGGGTGGAGGCTGGGCACCTCACCCTGGGGCTCTCCCCGGTTCCAGCGGGCGGCATCCAGGAAGCTGCTCAGTCCCTTCTTGGTCTTAGTCGGCTCGTCTGACCGCCGGTTCCCCATCACCTGCAGGGCGGAGGGGAAGGCGAGAGGGGACTCGGCACTTCTGAGCCAGCAACATAGAGGGATGGCACCCCAGGGGCCCAGAGTCTCCGGGCACCCCATAGGATCTCTGGGGAGGAAAGGGCCAGGTTTGGGTACTCGGGGAAGCACCTTTTTTCGGAAGAAATTCCTCCCTGACTTTTTGTCCCCACTCTTTGTCCGCACGCCAAGGTGACGCATGTACAGGCTGATGGCGTTGACCACAGCGGCACTGTGAGGAGGGGGCGAATGGGCACACTGCGCCCCACGGCCTTGCCCTCCCAGATCGCGTCCCACCCCAACCCCACAACCACTTCCTGCAGTGTATCCGAGGACGAGGGAGAGGGCCCCAGGGCCAGGGCCAGGGGAGCTCCTCCACACCCCCGCCCCCCACGCCTCCTCCCTCAGGCCCAGGAGACTAAACGCCCGTCCTGCCGTCTTCTCTGCTTCCATCACCTCTTTTCTTCGTCGGCAGAGATAGTGTGTCTGCAAAGAGAAGAAAGTTTGTGACGGACCAGCTGAACCGGAGGTCCCTGTGCACCCAGCACAAGTATCTGGGTAGGGACAGGAGAGAGGAGAGGCAGAGAAGGGGACTGCTGAAGCCACCGGGGAGGACCATGGGGGGGCAGGGAGGACAGGGGTGACAAGGACAGGACCCAAACACAGGTCTTGGAGAGACCTGGAAACTGGGAGGGACCCCGAAGCTGGGAAGGGAAGATGAAAAACCAGATCGACTAACATGCCAGCGACAGAGGACCCGGCAGACAGGGGAAGATCCTAAGGAATGACCCGTGATGCTGGACGGGGAGCCCTGACCTGGCCAGGGCAGCAGAGGGCACCCCAGCAGCTGGGGAGGGGCTGGCCCTACTCACTGCATCTCTTCCAGGTGGGCCAGCAGCCGCTCGGCCACAAGCCGTTCCCGGGCTTCGAAGCTGGCTCGGTCGCGCCCCACCCAGGCCTCCAGCTGGGACAGCTCTTGCTCCCAGGGCGTCATGCCCATGAGCCGCTTGGAGCGGAAGTCCTCCAGCTGCCGGCTGACGGCCGCCTGCTGGCTCTGCACCACCTCCTGCACGAACTGCCGCTGGCTGTCCTCGGAGAGGAGGTCGGGCCGCGTGCGGTCTGCAGGGACATGGGCAAGGGCTGGGGGCCAGTTTCCTGGGCCCCCGCTCCCCATCCACCCTGGGACCCCAACAGCCACGCTTTGTTGGGCTGCCGAGGCAGAAAGGAGGAAGGAAGGAATCTTCACTGTCCAAGGAGCATGGGCATGCGGCCTGGTCCCTGCCAGAGACCCCTCCTTCATCCTGCAGTCCCCCCTCCTCTCCTTACCAAGTTCAAAGGCGACTGTGGAAGGGACCGGCACCCGCAGAACCTGCTCAGGAGAGAGGAGGGAGTGAAGGGGAGAACGCGGCAGTGCTGGGGTAGCCGCCGAGGTGCCCCTGGTGGCCTGAGGGGAGGGGGCGGTGGAGGAAGGGCCAGGCTGCCACGGGGTCTCCCCCACCGGCTAGGCCGCCCTGCACAGGGCGGGGTTTGGGAGGTGCAGGGTGGCTCTCCAGGCAAGGGCAGCGGGGTACTGGGGCCCCTCCGAGGTGTCTCTCACCGCGGTCTTCTCCAGGAAGCTGTGGTAGAAGTCCAGGAAGGCCTTCTTGGCCTCCTTGGGGCCCAGCGAGCCCAGCATGTCCGCATGCAAGCAGCAGAGCTAAGGAGACACAGTGTGACCTCGCTGTCACCCACGAAACCGCACTTCCCCTCGGAAAGCCCTGGGGCTCAAATCCTCCAGAAGTGTGCCCCACCCCTCCATCCCCACACCTAGCCCCTGCCTCTCTCACGGCCTCCCTGGGGCCGCCCTAAGCACTCGCCAAGTTTCGTCCTGTGGGCTGGCTCTCTGTGGCTCGGTCTCCCCCTTGCTGCTGCCACGACCACCAGCTACACCGGGGCTGGTGTATTCCAGGCGCGCACTAAACCCCTAACGTGCGCCTGTTTCGCTCATGGGGCACTGTTATCCCACTTCACAGATAAGAAACCTGAGCTCAAGAAGTTTGCTCAAGGTCGCACAGCTAGTGAGTGGTAAAGCTGGGACCGGACCCCAGGCAGCCCGTCTGCACCACGCTCTACTGCCTAGAAAGCCCGTGAGCAACTTGAAGGTTAGTCTTCGGGGGGTATGGGTAAATAGGTGAACAAGTGGGGCTCATTCATTCATTCATTCATTCATCAAGCACTTGCTGGGACCGCCTGTGTGCCAGCTGTGCTGGGTGACGCTGGTGATGCCCTGGGGACTCCAACCTGTCCTGGATCCTGGGGGACTCTTGTCAGGTGAGGGACATGTTCTCAGTGTGCTAAGGACTCAGCCCAGTGGGGGTGGGACTTGGTTTCTGCACCCTAAACACTTTCGACAAATCTATGTCCCATTCTCCCCCAAGCAAAACTCCATGAGAGGCCACCGGGGAGCCGCGCGGGAGACCACGTTACTCCTCGGGTGCCCCCCCAGCCGATGAGGTGAGGGAGCAGCATGAGGACAAACCTCCAAACGCTGGGGGACACGGGGTCACTCAGTCAAGCCCCTGGCCCTTGCAGGAAGGACACGGCAGTCAGTACCATCCCTGGGCTGAGTCCCAGGAGCTCGAGTTCTAGAAACTCCCAGGCTGAGGAGGGGGACCCCTTGCCCGGAGGGCCAGAGCCTCCATGTACCAGAAAAGGGGATGCCACTTCCCTGGAGAGAAGGCATTTCCTGATCTCCTGCCGGTTTCCACAGCTTCGATGTCAGCCAGAGCCCCTTCTTTCTGCACCCCAGCTCCCTCCCTGGAATCTCCATCAGTCTCCTTCTCTTTGCGGGGATGTGCCATGCATTTCCAATACAGCCCGTGCCCTGGGCTAACCCTGCTGGAGGCCTGTGCGGGGCTTCTTGGGATGGGACCCTTGTCCGTGGGGCCCCGCCTCCGGCCAGTGCTGTAGCTTCTTCCTTCCTACATTACCTGCTGGGTTCCCTAGACTCTGCAGGTGTTTCTCACAGCTCTGCATCTGTACCTCCCAGGTGTTTCCCGCCTAATACAGGTTTCTGGATCATCGATTACGTTCTCCTGGCCTTGTGGGATGCCCGTGGTGGTTTCCCATCTCTGGATCGGGGCCTTCTGTGATGCTTAGATCCAGAAAGGCTAATGGGCTTCTCCCAAGCACCAGCCCCGAATGACCTGCCGAGGTCACAGAGAGGAACTGATTTCCAGTCCGTGGGAAAAGGTGCTGTCCCTGATGGGTGATGCTGCCACAGGCACAGGAGGCAGTGGGGGCCCCGTTCCGGCCAGGGTTCTGGATTCTCAGTTGCCCCCTGCACGACCCGCACACGCTGCTCACGCGTCCACACGGGGCACCTGCAATCTTGCCTGGGTCACATGGTGGTCCCTCTGGCTTTCTAGGTCTAGATTTGCATTCTGGATGTTTTCCAGACCCTCCTGGCCCATCTTCACGGGTCTAACGCACTGACCGAACTGACAGCTCTGGCTTGGCCCAGCCCCACCCCTCCCTGTGCCCACCCAGTCCCGCCCTCACCAGGGGTCCTGGCTCGAACTGCAGGGCCACGTGCTGCAGGAAGGCCATGAGGTGGGCCGGGCGGCGCTTCACCTGCTCCAGACTCTGGAACTGGCTGTTTTGTTCTTCTGCATTCTGGGGGTGGGGATGGGGGTGAGGCAGTGGGGAGCAGAAGAGGGGCCTTGGGCTTGACCCTCCTTCCTGGCATTTCCCGTTGGAGCCAAGCTGGGGGCAGGGGGGTGATGACCGAGTCTGTGCTGTAATAGTGGCAGCTAGGCAGGTGTGAGGGAAAACGGAGAAGACTCAGTGTTCTAATGAGGGGTGACGAGGACAGAAATTAGGAGACAGAATGGGGATCTGTGCTATAACTGGGAGTTGGCGATAAAAATTGGGGTTAGAGTAAAAAGGGTGGGATCAAGGATGGGGTGGGGAGGGGTGCGGGAGGAGGGACCACGAAGGTAAGAGATGGGCAGTGGGAGGACACGGGGGCAGCGTCTGTGGATGGAGATCAGACCTAAGGTGGGAGGGGACGCTGAGGATGGGATTGGAGGGGCTGGGGCCTCAGGGAGACTGGGACGGAAGCTTCTCCACCCCATCTCCCCCTCACCGTCTCCAGTTCGTTCTCGAAATCCTCGTCCTCAGCCCCGATGATGCTGAGGGGCACCAGGCCAGACCGCGGGGGCCCTAGGGCCTGTGGGAGGGGGACCGGCTTCAGCCCGCAGTGCTCCCCACCTCACAGCCCCCCAGTCCGCTCACCCCTTGGCTCTCTCCACTCACCGCCCCTCGGGCCACGACGTCGTCTGCCTCCATGGGCTCTGCAGGGCTGGGGGAAGAGGAGGGGCCGTGGTTAGGGGGTGGGAAGAGGTGGCACAGGGCGGTTACTCACAGATTCCTGGCGCAGGTGTGAAGGTGAGTAAACAGCCTTCCCCTATGCAGGCCTCCCGCAGCTCAATGGGGCCTCTGTGTGGCGACAAAGAGCCCTTCAGAGGCCAGCCAGGGCGGGGAGCCCAAGGACAGGGAGCCTTGTTTGGGGGGGTGGCGTGGAGTTGGAGGCTCAGGAGCCTGGGTCCCTGAGAGAGCTATGGCTGTGGGAGCCTGTGATGTTTGGATCCCTAATGCAGGAGGGGGCTGGGGGCCTGGGCTCCAGAGTTTGAGGGAGGAGGGGCTGGGGACCAGCAGGGCTGGGAAAGTTAAAGTGGAGGTAGGAGGGAACTAGCTGGGGTGTGTGGGGGCTCTCCTCTGATCTGTGATAGGCTTGGGGAGGATGTTGCCTCTGAACCCACCAGCCCCACTTCCTGTGACAGGAAATCATAATGGCAACCCCCCCAACCCCCAACTTTCTCCACATAAGAAAACAAAACTTTGAACCCTCCTCCCTCAGGGACCAAGAGTCCACAGACCCACAAGTTCTTTCCCTCAGGGACCTGGTGTCTTTCTGGCTTCCAGACCCAGAAAACAAGGAACGGTCCTCGGCCAGCTCATTCCCAAGGTGTGTCCGTCTCCTCCTACGTCCGTCTGTCTTGCCGGCTCTCCTTTCCCCAGCCAGCAATCTCTGGCTGTCTTCGCCTTTCTTCTCCCAGTTTCCCCATTTCCTACCCCTTCCTTCAGACCTGCCTCATTTTCCCCACTGTCTCTGCCTCCCCACCCTCCTCTTCTCCCCTTCAGCCATCTCCACCCCACCCCACTTCTGCTGCTCCCAGTCTTTCCCCGCGTCTCTCGTCTCTGCTTCAGCCACTGTTCGTTCCTGCGCCTCGCTGAGCTGCTGTCTCTCATCTCTCCCACCATTTCTCCTTAGCATCTCCACTTCTCCCCGCATCTTCCCACTGACATCTTCTGTGTCCTTAATTAGTCTGACTAATGCCACGCAAGCCCGTGTCAGGCAGGAAGAGCTGTGGAAACAGGGGTGGGGTGTACCAGTGGGGGTGGGGCACTCCCCACAGCCCAGAGCTATTTATAACCCTCGTCTCCTGAGACCCACCCTTCTCCCTCTTCCACAGGCCTCCTCCCTAGCACTCAATAAATGGTAGCTATGACTTTGATTATGATCATTAAACAATGATGCTTTCTGGAGTGTCCAAATGCCATCCCATGGGTTCACCCGAGCAGGCATCATTTTCGTTCTTTTCCATAAGGGTATTTGTCCAACATCCGAGCTTGAGTAATTTAAGATTTGAGCATTGCTAAATGTTCACATAAATAAATTTGCAAACCAAGGCAGGAAAATAACAGTAATTATTTATTATGCATGCTAAACTTACACAGCACTTACAGGGTGCCAGGCATTGCTCTGAGTGCTTCTCACACAGTAACTCGCTTAACCCTCACAACCACAAGCACTCCATGCTATTGTTATTCCCATCAGAGATGGAAAACCTTCACCAGGCCGCCAGCTGCAACTTCTGGGCTGGAAAATATGACTATGCTCACTCCACTTAAGGGGGGGACAGGTTAAACAGGGGCAGGGAGATTCCAAGAGGGCACAAGAGAGGTCACATGTTATCTGAGCGAATGCTCAGTGCCAGGCAGGCCCTAAATCATGCACATGATGTGTATTATCTCCATTATTCCTCATCACAATAATAAGAAGTAACAGCTAACACTCACTGTGCACTAAGTGTCATCAGGTATGTGCCAGGCACAGCATTACTGCTTTATAGATATCAATTAATTTAATCCTCTCAGTGACCCCATGAGGTATTATCATCCCCATTTTACAGAGGAGAAAACTGAGGCACAGCACATAAGGAACAGAACCAGGATTCAGACTCAAGTGGTCTGGCTTCAGATTTTAACTACTAAAATGTGCTGTTTTAGAGTATGGGGAACCCCTTCCCCGACCTTAGGAAACTAAAATCTGGACCCAAACTGAGACACATCAGGTCTCCTTATGGGGCCTGGGAAAGTCAGGGGTATGTGGGCACTGTGGCCTGGGCAGGAATGTGGGTTGGACTCAGCTGCTCTGTACAGGCTTAGGGCCCAGAGAGGGTGGGGGGAGGGTTTGGCCACTTAGGAGATTGGGGCTGCCAAAAAGGCTGGGGAATTATAGATTGCAGCTGTCAGATGGATCTATAGGCAACTGACAAGGCCTGAGGTCCAGCAGAGGGGAGGGGGTGCTGTGTGCATGGGCTGACAGAGGAAAGGGCAGATTTAGGGGTGAGGATCCTAGAGCAAAGCGGGCAGGTGTGGGGGACAACATGGACACCAGGGTTCTATGCAGAGCTGAGTCTTTAAGATATGAAGTGGATGATCCTGGTCTCCGAGAACCTCTGGGAACCTTAAAGAACCTAAAATACAGAGCAGTTAGGGGGAGTCCATAAGGGGCCCTTGGAATGTATAAGGCTCCAGATTCTATCTGACACATAGTGGGTTTACAAGGATCATGGGGTCACACATGAAACCAAAGGGAAAGTAGACAGTCTATGGGACCTCTGGAGACTTAAAAGGGGACCAGAATTCTATGGGGGCGTGTGGTGGTCTCTAGACAGTATCTACAGGGCCCTAGATTCTAAGGGATGCTACTGGTAGATGGAGATCCCACATCTGTAAGGATCCAGATCGTCACAGGGGGCTAGCAGAAACCTGGCGGGGTCTGTAGGACCTTGTAATCTGCATGGAACGTGGAGAGTCTACACAAGTCCCCAAACCTACATGGGACGTGGCGGGTCTACGCGGGCCCCAAATCCTACAGAGGACGTGGCGGTATGCACAGCCAAGGATGCTGAGGCGGACGTGGAGTCAGGGTCTGACGCCTGCCGGGGGCCGCGTCCCTCACCTGCTCCGGGGTCAGAGGAGAAGCCACCGCAGCTGCCAGTACCGAAGCCTCCACGCGCCGGCTCTGGGCTTCCCCACCCCCGCCTCCGAGTCGCTCTAGCTGCCCCAGAGGCCGCCTCTGAGTCCAGCTCCACTCCTCCCGCCAGCCGCTCTAGCCCAGCTTCTGTGAGGCGACTCTACTCCTCCTGCCGGCCGCTCTAGCTCTCCACCGCGCCACGCTGGCCAGATAGGGCCGCTCTGGCCTGCCTTGGAGGGCTGGCGTTTCCGTATCTCGACTGCTCCCGTTACACCCCTGGGCCCCGCCCCCTGCCCCGGTCCCCCGCCTTGACCCAAGGTGAGGAAGGTTCCAGCCCCCGATCCAGGACTCATCTGATACCTTGGACTCACCTCCTTAGTTCTATTAGTTCCCAGACTGGGCTCCCCGCCCTATCTCGCCTCCCTAACTCGTGGACCAGTTGAATTCCCCAGGCTCGTTCATTAATTCTCTTCGCATCCCCCATCCTCCGCCCCCCGCCCTCACTCGGGCATATTTTCCGCTGGGGCTAGAAAGCAAAAATCCTGGGTTCAAGGGTACCTTTCCCTCTGACATGCGCTGTAAACTGGAATAAGCAATTAACTTCTTTCCAAGCCTCAGTCTTCCCATCTATACAATGGGGGAGGACCATCGGCTCTGTCCCCTACAACCGAGCTCTGGGGTATGGTTAATGGCCCGGGAAAAAAGAGCTTCCCACAAATGCTTTCCAACGCGCTCTGCGACTTTTAGCTTCACAGCGGCCTACGACGTTAACTGTCGTTTTTCTTTTTAGGTGGCCCTAAAGCATGCGGGGCTGGAGGACGGCGCTTAGTGGAAAGCGGCTGCGAGTTCAAATCCCAAGTGCACTCGGTCTCACGACGTGTGTGCCCTGGGACCAGTTGGTTCTGCTCCCCGGGCCTCAGTTTCCCCACCCGCACAATGGGAGCGATCATCTGTCTCCGTGGACAGTTGGAGGCCTCGTCCCCGGCCTCGCACGCCTCACCCCACCTACTGGCCACTCTTCAGGTATTGGATCTCTCTTTGCCCCCTTTGACAGATGGGAAAACTGAGGCCCAGGGAGGGGCAGCGTCTGGCTCAGGGGTGCTCCGAGGAGGCCCCTCCACTGCCGGCAGCGCCCCAGTCCCCTCCCTCCTCCTCCCACTTCCCCAGGCAGCGGGGAGGAGGCCGGGCGGGGCCACGGACGGAGTACCTGGTGTCCGTGCGGGGAGGTGACCGGCGGGGCGCCCGAGGTCGGGCTCGGCGATCCCGGGCCCTGTGTCCCGGCTCCCTCCTCCTGGCTCTGGCG